AGTTGTCATGAACTCTCCATGAGTAGGCATTGCCATGAAACCACATGGTACAATATGGTAAATGTGTTATCTGTTATGTAAGCAAGACGTCCTCGATTCACAAAGGCCACATGTTACTAAAAGCCTGAGCGTTACCGCAATTACGATTACATATATTGACTTTCTCTATTCTACTGCTGATAGCACGACAGCGTGATGGATAGTGCTTCCCAAATGTGATTAATTGTAAACATGAATAGACATTCGGCGCATTTACCTTCCGAAGGGCAGTTACAAATGGAAACATCAAATTTACAAGTATCACATTTTAGTACGGTTTCGTAATACAAAAAAAAGTTGTGTTTTTGCAATGAACACATCAATCCTTTCACGTGCGATATTGGCATTTGCGTATCAGTTTAGAACAAGATCTTTTAGTTTTAAAGTAGGACTGATGATTTAGGCATCGCAAATGTTGCATGCGAAAAAAGAACTGCAACAGGCTATCGAAAGAAGGGCAATCATTGCTTATCAGAAATAGACATTACTCCATGTGAAAACCTGGACACAGATCTCATGCAATGAACTGATCACGAATGTGTATTTCGATCCCAGATGTGTTCTCCATATGCGTGCTCACTGGTTTCATCTTCTTCCTGATGTTCTGTCACTTTGGGCTTTCCTACGACATGATGCCGACTCTCCGTTATATAACTGGACTATTGTTTAAAGCGCCATAAACTGTCATAAATCATTGAATGTTATTATGTTGATTCTGTTAGTGACGGCATTTCACTTTGTCGGCTCCATCAGTCTTGGATAAACAGAAAAAAAACACGTTTGACGTTTAGGGTCCTAACGTTAAAGCTGTGTGTGTTATGAAAAGCAAATCCTATTACTTGAGCAAGACGGAAGCTAAATGCGGTAACATGCAAAAACTAGATGCGACGGGTTAAGAAACAGGGCTTTATGTATGCAAATATTTTTTATCATATTAATAATTTTTTTATCACGACACTAAAACAGGTCCAGATTGAAAGGATTACAGATGGTGCCCAATAGCACAGTAATGAAACGTATCGATTTCCATTGCTGAAGTATTTTCTTCAAAGAACGTTAACGACAGAACATGACATTAACGAATATAGCATCTCATTTGTTGTGTTTGTTTGTACCGTAGCATATGTGTCACGTATGATTTATAAACCTCTTAACCATCATGACAAACTTTTACTTTTGGAATGACATGTATGAGCTTGAATGTCTTATAAGCAACTGTTCAGAAGAACCAACACTAACTAATTGTAACTTATAGAATATCTGTCTCTTAAGAAGGTCCTCTTTGTTTCTTTTTCATATTCCCGAAACATCCTGTAAAAAATTAAAAAGTTGAAGCAATCAGAAAAGAACCTGTATATTTATCGTGTCGAACAACAACGAACGAATAGGGACGAGAGCAATGGCAACTTTACGAACCAACGAGTCGTAAAATAATGGTTTGCAAAAACGGTGCCATTTGAAGTTTTTATGCACACAAATAGCTGTAATGTATCACAACGACTTTGACTGGAACATAACTTGAGCAATTAAATGTCATGTTTTGAATACTAGTTATCGAGAAAAGACTTGTTTACTCGTTTATCACTGCGTGTATTGAGATATACCGAAGTAAGAAAGCCCCTGGCACTAAACAAATGGCTTCATGACAGAAAGGTCTATCGATGTTTTTAACTACCAGTACGACAATTATAGCTTTCTGTGAGTATTTCTCTCTTGGAACACTGGGTGGTATGAACATTAACGAAATCATTTTGTTGCACTATGTTTGTGTCAACAACGTTATTTGAAAAAGAAATCATCTGAAACAAAAGCAGAAAGTATTCCGTGATGCCATTAAATTTGGTATTTGTAGCAAGCCATGCTGCCAGCAGCAATTGTTCTAGACATACACAGAAATATTAAACTTAAAACGATAAACATCTGATTCAACACTCTAAGTATCAACAGTAACTGTTAACGGGAACAGAAAATAGAATTAATGTCTGGCATGCTTTCAATACAGCTCTACATGCTTATCGCGTATGTTGAAACTAATGTGTCGACGTTTTCTTGACAAAATAGTAATTTATATTTCAAATTTCAAGTTAGCATATTAGAATAAACTGATGTTTATTAGCTGCAATTAATATAAAAATAATTTAATTTTCGGGGGGAAAGTCAATATAAGGTTCAAGTGTAAGGCAATTGTTATAAAGCAGTACAAGTATACAATGAGTGGTTGGATGGCACCAACACCTATCAGCTCACTGTTATAATGGTACCCTGGAGTCGATGGCCCCGGGGATGAATCGCACAACACGATCCCTGCTTTATTACGTCTCCTTCTTCAGTGAAGTACACCATTGCAAACAAAGTCGATGGCACATGAAGACAATTGTGCTAGAAGAAATACTAATCTATAACTTAGTAAACTCAGGTTTATGTTAGACAATACGGCACAATTATTCATCCATTAGCCACGAGCCTAAGTCAAATAGAGCAGTATATGGAAGAGATTGCAGCTAATCACGATCATCTCTGGTGTAGCTTCATTGGATCGAAAGTACCAGGGGCAAGTTGCGGGTTATTTTTAACAGGCCCCACAGACTAATTTCACATGCTCTAGATTACCCGAACATGCCCTTTTAGTTTAATGTTGCATTCATTGCTAAGCGCGCGACGGGAAGTCCCTAAGGCCAATAAATTAGACACCGTCTCCTTCCGCTGAACAGGAGAGTCGGTGCTGATCATTTGGGTAAACTTGTTAAATTATCAATCCAATGGACGACAATATTTTTTTAAATATAATGCTGAGACATCTTTTGTTCCAAACGTCAACGCCTAAGGGGTTTCATATTCGTAGTTTTGTATCTTCAAACAAATAACAAAAACATCATGTTTTATTTTGAAAGAACTGTATAAAAACAATATTGAAGTGTTTTTTTCATGCGATTATGGCTCTTGGGTTCTTCGATGAGTAAATTGTTGTTTGACTGTTCCAGTAACTTAGTTGTATAGAAAATATTTACTAATACAACTTGTAATAGCTGTGAATATGACTTTGTAGACGTAATTGTTCATTCATGAACACTGAATGTTTTATGTTGGGTCATGGGTAACACAGTCGTCGATGTGCAGAAGGTCGTCCCTTGGATGAGCCAGAACCATATGGTTGTGGGTTCGAACCGCGGTGAACATCTATGACCTCCGGCTTCAGCTTAGGCTTTTTTAAAATGTTAAGCTGACACGTGATATAACATTCACAGCGGCGTAAAACCACATTCTCACCATGTACGTTTAGCCACAGTGTCAGTATATGACGCCTCGGATACTGGTTTAAATCAAATGTGGAGTCGATTCTATAGATAGTGGCAACATTATTAAGTTTACTTTTAAATAATTGTCAAGCATTTCTGAAGGAGATTTAAATGTGTTCAAATTCAAAATGTCTTGTCAATTTAGTATTGACGTATATGAGGATTACACCAAGGCATTACGAAATATTGCCTTAGATGTAGCACAGCCGTAGAATGATTGTTGTCCAATCCCTCTTAAAAAAACATTTTGCAAGAAAGTGAAAAACAATACAGAGGTGAGCAAATGGATAAATGTTCAGCATGGCATCCCTGTAACAAAAACGTAGGATGATATAAGGTTTCAATCTAGCTTGTGTTAAGGTTTTGACCTTTTCTAGACTCCGCGCCTAATCATTTCAAATTACAAATATCAGATATCTTAAAGATTACCCATATCGTGCGACCCTCACCAGATAGGCTGGACACAATCTGGTATTTTGCGTCGACGGAAGTCATTTTCGAGTCAAAGGATCGATTTCGCGAATGGCTGAACACTGACCTTTTACAGTAATTGGAAATGTATATTATTTTGTATTTATAGTAATTTCACAGACTAAAATGCCGGTAGCTTTGTTACAGTTGACTTGTAGCTCGCCTTACGTTTATCAATAACCAGTGTCCTATTCACGGTGTTAACCAAACACTAAGGAATGACAGATTGAATTCAACGTGTAGCTCAGGCCAACGTCACACTTTGCACTGATCATGAACACAAAGACGTTATGTTAAATATATCCAGGCTATAGTGTTTGAATTTGGTTCATATCGAGGTTGGTATCGTTTCAAACAAAATGTAGAATGCATCTTTTGAAGGATTTTCGTATCAATGCACAAATCGAATTTGCTGCTGTCGTTATTTCGATAGACCATGAATAATTGAGACTCGTTGACATGATTAATCTGACAGAGAAAGTCGTACTGTTGTCTATTGAGTCCATGGTGTACCATGTGAATGGGGCTTTACGATACCAAATGATACAATTACAACGTTTACCACGGTGCTTAGTGTCGTGTGAATACCAATAACTCCTGGTGTCATTGTTTTTCATTTGCATTGAAAAAGAGCGTAATTAAAAACAGTATATCACCATGACACGTTATTAGAGCCAGGTTACCTTATATCAATTCAAGGTAACCTTATACTGAAAGGTTGATTAAAGTCCGACAAACAAGAAACGTGTGTGATGGTAACTTAATAACCACGGTGATATAAATCATTAAGCGTACATGTTCATGCACACGTTCCGGTTTCGAAACAAGGAAACGACAAGGATGTTCTCTTTAACAGTGTGTGTTTAGGCATGGAATATTCTTTTGTCATCATATTGCCGCTATATTTTCAGAACAAGTAATGTTCTTATAATGAACGTAAGCATAAAATTATGTTCAGAATGAGGGATAAGACAAGGATGGTCACTTAAACAATGTTCATCATGTTTTTAAGAAATGTGTGTTAAGGCTTGGATAGAATCTTGTGTCATCATATTGTTGGATTGTCAAAATATATAATAAACTCAAATGGTTTGCCTCTTCACACAACATATCTATAATATATGAATTCAAATAAATGTCATTGTTACATTAAACATTATTTTATTAACGTATGCTGTCTTTCTTTCGTTACAGTCGTGGTCCTCTGTGCCTCCCCGCAAGCTGTACGGGAAATCATGATCAAAGCTCATGAGCTCAACTTCGACAATGGAGAATACGTCTTTTTCAACATAGATCTATTCAGCAGGTACTAATTACCGTAATAAAAATTGGCATAATAAATAATACTTCAATACGTTTCAATTGTTTGACCATATGATACTAGTATTTACGAACTAACGAAAATTACATTAAAAAAGCTAAGGTCACCGCTGTAAAATCCTAAAACTCCTAATCTGTTGATATTTAGTTTCATATATAAACATATAAAATGTGATATTCTTAGACAACAAATGATGATTCTTTCTTGCGGGGGAGAAACGTATGATCGTTTCTTGGTTTGTCAGCACAATACCAGTCCACGTGGGTTATACTTCATGGAAATGATGGTAAATCTACTTACAGCTTTAAATCAAACTCACTCACTCACTCACTCACTCACTCTTGCAGTAAAAACGACAGTGAACGCCCATGGTATAACGAGGATGATGATGCAGAAAGGAACAATAAAGCCAGAATAGCGTACGAAGCCTTAATGACGGTGACGCTTCGTAAACCAACCAGCCCCGAGTACAAGATATTCTCTACTGAAGTGAAAAGGAGAGCCAAGGAAATGTATGAAAATTTCACCTATGGAGAGGAGGAGGTAAGATACCCTTTTTTCTTGTAAAGATGTGAATAGTAGTTGATTGAAAGGTGCTCGGCCTATGTACAAAGTTGTTAAAATAATCTTATATATTTATGGGAATTAGGGGGTAGATAACACACTTGTTATACAAATGTCAATAGCAAATTTGCATTTCAGAGCATTAACAGACATTGGCACATGAAATGTAAATATAAAACTATATATTCGTACAACTACAAGTATTCTCTGATGGAATGAATAGTCGCAAATTACTGGATTGTCTTGCTTCTTATTCCCGCCTATTAAGCACGACATACACTGGATATACAATGTATCCGTTCCCGGGCTCTTGTCATTCGGTGCACTTGCTTCTTAGACTATCTCGACAGCTCGTGTCATTCCCTGCTCACAGTTCATCCTGTAAGATGGTAGACGTTTAATGACGTGGTCTTAAAGTTCATGATAACAGGCTGCTCAGCAATTGGACGCACTCACCTCTTGTGGTCTTGCAAAGCAGAATATGGTATCAACTGTACTTCGTACGAGATCATTACTGGTATATCTTTCACAGAAGTGGAGTCCGAATGAGATGGATTAGTACATGAGCATTAAAGCCGTGTATAAAAGTCTTTTCTTGGCAGACATCCACATGGTATACCATTATGGGATGTCATCCATGTCCTGATGTTAATGTCTGTGCTTGTATTCGAATGTGCTGTTTCTCGATATCCGAACCCCAACAATAGAATTCTTTGACGTGTATCATGACTTGCCCAGTGATTTCATTCACCGCATCTCAAGTTGCTCCCAAGGATCCATCGGTTATGTCTTACAGAGCCTCATTCCACTTCTATTCCTTTGTAAGCACCAGGTCCTTTGTGGCGATCGTGGTTACACTGGGAATTGCGATGTGATAAGTCATGTGTTTTCACTTAAAAGTTCTTGTGAAAAACATGTATCTGCCTTTGAGTGTTATTGGTGCTTTTAGCCTTGCTGGTTTAGTACTTGGACAAAGCGCTCTTCCAAATCCAGGGGACACTTACCAAGGGTGCACGGATGTATCTTAACCCCCTTTCATTGCAAGCTGCCTTTACGATTAACAGTGAAACGTCATGCAAAAAGAATAAATATTTCAGAAGCTACATGTGTATAATATCCATCTCCTACATGATAATTTAGGTTAATATCTGTACATTTAAACATAGTTTTAAATTTTGCAAATCAAAATAAGGGAAGGCCGTTGACACTCTGGGGTAGGGGTGAGGGTTAGGTTGTGGGGGTGAGGGCTAGGGTGATCTGGCTTGAGATTGTGTCCAAAAAATGCTTGCTAGAAATAGATATGCTTCCGACGGTTGAAAATAACGCATTGTCTGCAACAATGAATACATTTCTGCAAGCTGGTTTAAAAAACAATAATTAGGCTCATAGTCTTAATTAAAAAAGATAACTGTTTTCGCGGCTGTAGCTGAAAATATATCCAGTTTCAATACACAATTCCCAGACCATCGACCCCCTAAGCCCCTAGAATATCAAACGGTCAGTCCCTAAGTCAGAAACACATTCAAAAACTAATATTTCTTATCAGGATTCCCTCGTCTCCAATTTATCTAAGGAGCGTCACGTATGCCCCTGCATGAACAGAGTCATCGTGCCGTCAATCGGAACATCGCAGCAAGGATTCCTATCCCAGCTGTCTTGAACCGACTATGCTTCTATCGCTGAGACTCATTAGAGTGCTATTACAGGACTCACCGTGCTGTCGATAGGTGGCAAAAACAAATTAAACTTTGCACCCTTGTGTCCTCAAGGAAAATCATTTCCATTCTTCCCATTTCCTTCGTTTCCAATTTGCTTCTTTCCGGACCGCATAATTTCTAATGAAGTATCAGACCCAGAAATATGTTTCACCTCCAGAGTCTTTCATAATTACATATGTCTTTATTGTTTATTGGCGTTTTTCGTTAGATGTTTTATTTTTCGGTTTTCATATTTAAGATTTCAAGATAATAATAAAGCGACAAAACTCTTTCCATATCCAATAGAAATATCTGCATATAGCAGAGTGGATTGTACGATTCTGACTTTATCATGAGCATGTGTTTATGAATCACTGTAAAATAGTAATGATACCAGGTGTTAGCGAAATGGTGAGCGTGTCCTGCCCTACCGTAGGCAACCGCCACAAACACATGCAAAGGCAAGCCAATTGTTTACCTGAAAAAACATGGGAACATAATTTTATGGTTCAAGTCAAAATAGGGAATTGCGTCGGACATCATTTTTGTCACTGATGCGTCACATTTGGAAATGTCCTCCACATGTCTACCATAAACCTTTTTGAAAGTTTTACTGAGGCATTGAATACTGTAACCTTGATCAAACAACTTCTGAGAGTCGTATGATGCTCTTTGAAATCTTGGTAGAAAGAACATGCTCGATTGCATCTCAAAAGTTGTGAAATGTAAACACCAAAGGCTGGAGCTGCTGGAATATTGCTCGACATGAAGAGAGAGTTGATTATTGTCATCCCCCTTGCCCTGTGAAAAGCGTTTTCTCACTCTGAATGTTTTTGCATAAATCTGAATATGAAATAGATGAGGCGATCTGATTTGTCTCCTGTATTTCTAGTGCAGGTGGGTAAATCAGTGGAACATTTACCTCTTCATTTTCTTTTTGCCAATTTCATTATTCATCTATACACAAGGTCGGCTAGATTATGCCTATTTCCACATGACGCCCTGTTCGGAAGGTTGTGAATGCTCCAGAAGACAACGTTTAATTAAATGTGATCAGATGGATTATTTAATACTCGTGACTCAAGTCTAAGATACACGATATCCTGGTAAATATTAACGCCGCAATATTCAGTTGATGGGGCTCTTTAGTGATCACGAATGTTATGATGATAAAATGAAATTCGAATTAGAAAGCAACGCTTGCAGAAAAGGTTAATCCTTGAAACCTTTAACAGTACTTTACACATGTTTATTGCTACGTTATTCGTCAATTTAATATTACGTTTTTTCTGTTTCAAATGAGGTTCTTAATCAGCGTTTTCTATCCAGTAAGTATCACCCTCAAATCGTATGGTTACCTCTCGCGTAACTGATGTGGCCCATAATGTGAATCATAATCAAACTACTGAATGATCTTCAGTTAATGTTGGTGTAAAAGTGTATCGCCGGACACTCTACGTAATTATAATACCCATTACATAGTAATGAGGCTAGAATTACGTTTGATTAAATGTGAAATGACAGTGGCAAGTTACACTCTCGTGTCCAACTTGGAGATATTTGAACGCTAACATTACTTTGATAACGCGCTTCTTACTTCAACAGATTCCTTTGAGTTCTGTTGCTTCCAGACCTACTGACTCTAAGCTATTTTCAATCTTGAAAAGTTGAATCGATGCTAGTTAATTTCAGTGTTGATGGACAGGATCACACACCTTTGGGAATCGATACTGATTCGGATTTTCCTTAGGGTGCAATTGACAATCTTTGAGGTATCATCTTTTCAACAGCAGATTAAACCGATTGCTGGAGATCGTCTTCATTAATCAGAAATCGAATACGGCTGCATCTATTCTGTTTGAAATAGAAGGCGTACTTGTTTAGTTGGATCACATGATACCGTTAGTTTGATAAATGACCCAACAGCGAGTTCTTCTGTGTTTTTTCCTGACATCCATTACAGGCTGATACATCATGATGTCACACATTTATGTTTCTTCGGGATCGTTAAAATACTGTATTCGTGTGTTATTATTAGTATTTATTTATATTTTTAATATCATTATTATTATTATCATCATTATTATTGTTGTTGTTGTTGTTGTTGTAGTAGTTGTTGTATATTGTATGGACTAAAGCTGTATATATACAATAGGATATCGATATATCATAAACTTAAAAAAATAATTTAAAATTACTTAAATTACTAGTAACTTAAGGACAAGCTGTGTTTTCTATGAAGAGGTAGGACCAAAATATACCATGGTGCGATTATGTTTCTTTCGATACACGTTCGATTCTGAACAGTGATTACAACAGTAACAGTCGTGCAAATATATTCCGAACTAGTTTATCCTTTTGAAATCTCAATGCATGTATCATATTCCTGCCAGAATATTTTTTAACGTTTTTATTCACAAATGGTGCCATAACGATCTGAAAATGAATATGGTTAAGATGAATCATACTGAACTTGAAACCTCTTTTCGACTTATTCACTGTGAACTCACGATGAATAGATGAAGACCGTTGCTAAACCCGACTCGTTAAATCACGCTATGGTCAATTACCAAGTGATCAGTGGATACTCCAAGGGGAGGTTGTGGTCTCTCACCTAATTCTCTTATCGTGACCGATTGACCAGACGGGTCAGTTTGCGTGGTGACCGCTGATTAGATGCCACACGCTCTTATTTTCACAACCGGTCACGAGTTAAGCTAACGGACGTGGCTTAATGTGCTGGGTTTCAGGCAGGCCTAATGCACATATTGTACATGTCACAATCAAAACACATGAGATCAGAATGAACGTCTTACACTCTTCATACCTTCAATTAATAAGTTCGTAAAGTGATATAGGCTACTACAGCCGAGAGTGAGTGAGTGAGTTGGGTCCACGCCGCTTTTAACAGCATTCCAGTTATATCACGGCGTGTCAGCTTAATGTGGGAGGAAAGCCCTAAGTGATGCAGGTCTCAGACGTTTACCACACGAGCACGGGTATGGTGCTGACAAACCCAGAAACATAATCGAGGCTAACCGGGATTCGAACCCACATTTATAGGTTTGTGGCGTGCCCAAGGGACGCAACTCTGCAAAGCGAATCGCGGCGCCTTAGACGACTTGGCCACCCGTGCCCCCACTACAGCTTAGAAGGGAATGCTTCAGCGGTATGGGGGTCATATGCTCTGGGGTGTGTGAGAGAGACTCATGTTTATGGTTTCTGAGATGCTTCGGTAAATGATCAAGGGCGCCGACGGTACTTTTGAGTTTTTGAGTAACG